TTAAATTTTGTCAAAATTTATGCATGATATATATCATTAAAACAACAAGAAAAATACTAGTATTTGTTACCTATAAATAATTGTATTGGAATTTGCACTTCAATTTCTCTTTGTTAAATAAATGCTTCAACTACATCTACCATGAAATAAATATTGTTAATTTCTATGTATTATTTAACATTCAAACAATATCATAAATAATTACTTATTTTAGTCATAATCAGTTATTGTGAATATGCATTCCATTTTCCATTAAATATTTTTTGCTTTGTGAGTGACATAATTTTTTGTTATAAATAACATTTAAAATTATACGTAAATTTTTTTTATGAATTCTAATTTCAATTAATATCCCACTTATTATTTGTCACTCTTCCCATTTGTGAGTATGAGTTCATTTCCTTATATATTATATTTTTTTTATAAAACAAATTATTAATCTCATTTAATTAACCAACAAAATAAATTTAAAGTATTTTATTTATCTAAAATCATTTTTTTTATTTGTTTGGAACATCAAACACAATATTATTTTTTTGGTTATATTGAAAATTTTCAAGGTAAAATAGAAAAACTCATAACTAATATGATATCTACATGTAATATAATAAATAAATATTTTATATAATTTTTATTTTGGTATCTATATTGTATATATATATATAGAAACTTTTAAATTTTATATGTGAATTTATGATTTTGTGTCGTTTATTTTGACACACAAATTTTTAAATGTTTATATATAATACAGTAGAACCATGTTACATTTGACACATATACTCTCTTATGATGGAATTTACGTACAAGTTAAGAAAATATGTAATTATCTCTTATTAATCTAGCTTATATTATTTTATATATTTATGTTATATATATATATATATATATATGTATAAGTGGAGAAGCTTGGAGGAAATATTTTTCCCTCTAAAACTAAATATTAATACATTAAAATAAATATTATTATTTTCAATGCATGATTTAACAATTAAAAAAACAAATTGTTACACAAAAATAACTAATCTGTATTCATGTTTGTATTAGAAATTACATTCCAACTTCCCTTGGCTAAATAAATACCTCAACAACATATATTAAGATGAAATAAATATTGTTATTTTTTATGTATTATTAACATTCAAACAATATCATAATTATTTGTTACAAATAAATACTTTTTCTGTCATGATCAATTAATGTAAACATGCATTACGAACTTGCATTAAATATTTTGTTCTTCGAGAGTGACATAATTATTTGTTATAAATAATATTTAATCGTATACATAATTATTTATTATGAATTATAAATTTCAATATCCTTCTTATTATTTGTCTCTTTCCGTTTGTGAGTATGAGTTCCTCTCATTATATATTATATTTTTTCTTATAAAAATAAATTATCAATATCATTTAATTAAACATTTAAATAAATTTTAAACTAAAATCTATTATTTAAAATAATTGTTTTTATTCATTCCGGAACATCAAACACAATATTAATTTTTTCTTCTTACGTTTGGAATATTTCAATGTAAAATAGAAAAAGTCATAACTAATATGAGATCCACTGTAATATGATAAATAAATATTTTATATAGTTTTTATTTAATATCTATATTGCATAAATGTAGATAAAAATTTTAAATTTGATGTAACAATTTACGATTCTACGTCGGATATTTAAACATGCATGTTCAAATGTTTTTGCATATTCAGCCTTGGGCTGCTTTTGCACAGTTGTGCGTTTTGATATATAATATCTCTATCGTTTCGAAAAAAAAATGTTTTTACATATAAATTTTTAATACTTGCACCATGTCACATTTTACACATATACTCTATTATGATGGAATTTATGTACACGTTAAGAAAACATTTAACATATCTTAATTAATCTTATATTATTTTATATCCTTATGTAATTCTAAAAATTACAAGTGATCATTAAATTATTTGGATTGAGTATCTCATTCCTAATAGAGATCTCCTAATTTAATTTGTAAAAAAATTGATCATTCACAAATTTGACGTGAGCTAGAGTAAGGGTTAGTTAAGTAAACATGTCATTCTTTTTTAACAAACAATGAGTACTTAGATTTCTAAATTTCATACTTTTATTTAATTTAATTTACTAATATATTTTCTTAAATAATAAATAAAATATAGATAGAGGTAGATAAAAAATAATAAAGTTGTATTTATCATAAATAACGTAATTTATTCAATTAAAATAGATGTATTTTCCAAGAAAAAAATATCATCTAAAATTTTTTGGGATGATCCTTTATATCAAAATGAAATAGATTTCTAAAACGTTGAATAACCTTTACAACTAGGTCTGAGCATGGGACTCAAACGCCGATTCGTCCCGAAAGTCGAGCCAAAATCACTCCAAACCGAAAAATATCCATTGACTGTTTGACTTTCTCTGAACCGAACCGAACTGAAAAACTAATTGCTACGGTTATGGAGATTGTGCAAATATTCATGCCGAGAACCGAACCTAACCGTCTCATACCGTACCGAACCGAACCGAAAAACCAAATTGTATTGAATTATAATTCTAACTGATTACTAAATTTATTTATAACTTTGCGAAAAATTATCAATCTTTCACGTAATTCTTTCATCATTATCGCACTTATTTTGCAAAAAATAAAATGTTGAGATCTATTTTGTTAATAAAAAATTAAAAAATGCGTGGACCAATTTATAACTAAATACACGTGGATAGAAATTGGGTCATTTTTTTTTATTTAGTTTAATTTACAAATAGAAATTTTACTTTTCTCATCTTCATATTAACATAAATTATTCATATATTATTTTATTTGTAGAAAAGTAATTATGACTTTGTTTTTATGAAAAATTATGTTATCACGGAGACATTTTTATGAAAAAAATTGAAGGAGTGTCATTAATGCGACAAAGTATTTTTTTTAATGGTATGTCACATATTTTTGTACCCTTATGAATTAAATTTGAAATTTTTTAAGAAAAAAATATATTGTATTCTTTAGTTACAAATAATTATATGTTGTTATTGTTTATAGAGTCACGAATTCATATTTTCTAATTATTATTATTATTATCATCATCATCATTATTATTATTATTATTATTATTATTATTATTATTATTATTATTATTATTATTATTATTATTATTATTATTATTATTGGTGATAATGAACACACTTCATCTAATGTTAAATGTATTAAATTTTTCTTTTACATTATCTCAATAGATGTTTTTTTAAAACAATCTCTTATTAAATTACAATTCACTCACATCATTTTTAATATTAAGCCGCGCAACGCGCGGGTGACGTACTAGTTGGTGATATTAAAGTTGACGTGATTTATAAAATCATAAGATTTTACATATTATGCGAAACGATTCGTTACAAGCGCTTTTTAACAAGCATTGGCTACAGAGGGTCGTGTGAACCAAAAACCGATTAATAGCTAGGGACACTCGTATTTGCCCAATTGACACATCTGAGGGAATCAATGTTGGACTTATTGGATCCTTAGCAATTCATGCAGGAGTGGGCCCAGTCCTTCAAATGCCTATCTGTTGTAGTAGTGCAATCCGAACTGAGGCCGGGTTTTTGGGGTTAGCTCACCCTCGCGGGATCGCGACCCTTTGTCCCGGCCATTAGTGGTTTTTATCCGGAAAGGTTCAAACCTTTATATAGTAAGCGACTTCCTCATTTAGTGAGTTCCGATTTGACCTATGGACGAATATGCAAGCATACGTTTCATGCTTGTTTGAGTAATAGCAAGGACACCATATACATACGGCTTTCTTTCATCACTCCGGATAGAAAGAGTAGAAAGATAAGGAATTGGCCACCCAATAACTCTTTCAAGATTGTAACATAGGACCTAAATAATATACAGAATGCTGCGTGCAGTAGCGGGTTCCTGCGAATCTGTCAAGTTAGCTATATGTTGTATATTGTCGACGACTCTTTCTTACCGGCTTCGTTGATTGATTTTTATATCAGCAATGATGTTATAACTATAGCATGCTCCAAGAGTTGTAAATGAACCGAAAGTTCGCGAACAAAAGCTCGTTTGTGTTCGATAAAAGTCCGTTCGTTTGTTAATCAAGCCGAGTTCGAACAGAAAATTAGGCTTGTCTAATAATCGAACGAACACGAGCTCGTTTGTGAACGATTGTTTATGTTCGTGAATATTAATTTAATATAATTTATTTTATTTTTATATATTTACATAATTTTTTTTAATAAAAAACCTAAAATTTAATATAATTTTTTATATATTTACATAATATTTTGAATATAAAATCTAAATCATAACAATATTTTTATTTTATTCTTTTATTTTTGAGTTCGAACAAACAAATTTCGAGTTAATCAAACATATTTAAAAAGTTTATGTATTAAATTTTTCGAACACGAACGAACTCGAACTTTGACGAATAATTAAACGAACGAACTCGAACATGATTTTTTGCTCGAAAAATAAATGAATGAACACAAACACTATTTGAACGTAAACGAACACGAGCCCGAACAACCCAAGCTCGGTTCGATTCGGTTCGTTTACAACACTACATGCAGGGGCGGAGGCACGTGTAAACAAGACTGGGCTGTAGCCCAGGGTGCCTCTTCCAATTCCTACCATTAGTTTAATAAATGTTTTGGTGTTTTGTTTCCAATTCAGCCCGGTTAGTGGCCAAACAATTGAGACTAATGCACATATTTCAAACAATTGAGACTAATGCACATATTTCACATAATTAATATTGTAATGTATTTTCTATTTATACTTAAAAATTTATTTTCCAAATATGTATTCTAAAAATTTATTTTCCAAATATGTATTCCTTTTGCAATTTTTACTCCTGATATTTATGTGTACTTATTTTGTTTATTATTTATATATTTTTGTAATTTTAAAATATATTACGATATTTTTTTCCCCACTTATAGGCTTTGGTTTTTTATATTTTTATAACCATTCAAATACCACCATTGAATTTAGTTATTCTTTGAATTTAAAATGATGAGATGAAAATGCATGTTTGATAAACATACTATTGAAATATGATATCTTATTTGCAATATTATCATATATTTATTTATTTTTGTTCAATAATTATAGCCTGGTAGATATTGAATCCTAGCTCCGCCCCTGACTACATGCTCCTTAATGTCATAGCCTTAAAATATCAAAACTAACTGGCAATTGCAACGAATCGACTGTTCAGCAGTTGAACCAGTCGTAAATGTATATGAAATTAAAATAATGTACACATGTTCAAATTCCAATTGATGCATTCAAATTTGTAGCTTTAGAAATTTCGATAAATTGTTCATCAGCAGCTCGAAACTCGTTATTCAAATTACGATTTATTTTTCTCAAATCATTTAGCTCGAACATAGCTAGTAACTTAGTACCGGTCTTATTGGAACACAATTGTCATGAGGTGACAAATAAAAGGCCAAAATCACGAGGGCCTGCACTATTTTTGAAAATAAAGAATCAAAGTGCTTGTCATGAGCCAAAATCATGGTCCTATTTTTCCTTGATAGTGATCAAACTGCATGCTCTACTTTTCTACACTTGAAGATTGTATCATGTGCAAACTATATATATATATATATGGCTTATGGCCTCAACAATCCCATTCTCCTTATTACACCCGACCTAGTTTTCAATCAAACAAAGGAATTGTGGTCCTTATACATGCATCCTTTCCTAACTACTTTTCCTTTCTTTTTCTTTTTTTTTTTTTTTTGATC